TACAGAATAGAGGTATCTACTGTATAGTGATTTTTCAACCATCTTAAAATCTAAAAATGCTATAAAAAACTATAATGTATCAAATTTATAAAGTATATTGAAAACGATTTTACTTTAATATTGCGAGGTTCAATCTTTATTGGCTATATAGCTACCAAAGCGGCTACTAGTTGGTGGATGTTTTTTCCGTTTGAAATATTCACTATCCAGTGGCATGGATAAGTGATAACCTTATTTATCTTTCGTGAATCCCCCTGAATCACTCATATCCTAAGATTAAATACGAAATTCGCAGTCACTGATTGCTCCACGTAATTGTCTATGACCAAATTAAGCCAAAAGGAGTCTAGAAATTCAGCTTCATAAAAATTTAATAGACTGTAGTCGTCATTGACATATGATCAGGGCCGGAAGAATACTTTATTTTTTTGAGAAGGGACTGCATGAATTTTAAAGTTGATCGTTTTGTCCGACCGCGGCCTTAAAAATGATTATAAATACATGTATGTTATATATATATATATGCGATATATATAGTCTGCATGCATGTATATTCCCGGTTGAGATAAGCCGTTCCCAAGGTATAAATACATACCATGCAGTGTCAGTGATGTTCTATTCGAAAATTGCTATTTGTTTGTATAAAAAACATGCGTTTTTCCACATGATTCTTCATACACATGTATTTGGGGAGGCCATAGCAAGCGCCATATAGCCACCCCTGGCAGTGATAGTTTGTTCATTGCATGAATTACGTGAGTGAATTTTGCCAATTCGTTATTTGCTTAATTTGACTGCGAAGTTTATAACCATGGATAGCTAACAGAAAAGGGTAAAAGGGAGGACGTTTCTGCTCCATCATAGTATAAATAAAAAAATACTTTTTCTTATTCAGCAAAAGTTGTTTCGCCGCGACAAACGCAGAAATGAGTGGAAGAACAGCTGCAAAGAGCTCCAATCTGCATGGTAATCCTGTTGTATCACCATCAGATTCGGGTGAGCAAGGTCGAAGCATGGTGGATACCAATGATCTGAACATTTATCCCCCATCAATTGGGCCGGTATGTCATCTCTGGTGTTTAGTATTTTTCTTGGTTTTATCGTTTTGAGCTTGTCAACTATTTTTGCAGGTTTTGTCGGCTCGGCCTATACACTACCAAATTCTTATTGCCATGCAGTCCCGCGCGATATCGATCCCCAGATACTGGATCGGGACTTTTCACGGCTGTTTCACGTTTAGGTATCGGTTGAAACGTCGCTACGGCCGTCTAATAAACCTAAAGGAAGGCGTACGACTAGGAGCTCATCTAGTACAAGCCTGGAAGATAAAGGCAGAGCTATAAAGGAAGAGGAAAGTTTGCCTGTTAAGCTGTCAAGTAAAAGTAAAGTGACGGCTAGAAGTTCTGCTAGCGCAGACCAAAGAGATAAAGTTAGAAATGACAGTGAGATGTATGCTTTTTCAGAAAAGGTATACGTATATATAATAAATTAATCGTTTGAAATTACTCCATGCACTTATATAAGCTTTTTCACTGCATGATGTAAACGCTACAGCATGGCATGCATAGAATATAGATACAGTGACCCATGCAGGATGCATAACTTCAATTAACAGCGGGAAATATATCTATGTGGTGACTTGCCTTTAGCTATATTCAATTAGATCTTTAACCGTTATCAGAAGATAACTATATATTTGTATAAAAAATAAATTGAATTGCGGTGTTTTAAGCTCCGTATTGACGAACAAGTTTCCTTCGACAGTTTCCTGAATTTTTGTTAATTGCTCGTGTTCATGTAAAATATAATTGACAATTTTTCCTTAACAATGAGCTTTGTTTCAAAAGCTATATTATTTTACACAGTTTTTTCAAAAGCTATATTATTTTATACTTTTCAACAGGAAAATATACAAATCAAGCAGCTTTCTTTGTACTTAACCTAAACGTAGCAACCCCCGAGATTGTTTATATATTTATTAATAAAAATGCAAGTTCGTAGTAATTTAATTGTCCAGAGAAAATTATCAAACTTTCGGCTTCGCGTATGCACATTGAAATCTGAGCATGCAGGAATTTCGAGCTATAGCCTATACTACGTATTAAAAGTTTTATACTCCAAATATAAGTCCTAAAACAGTAACCTAGGGCTAGACCTAGGCGTAGGATATATAGAAGCCTCACAATAAATATTTCATGAATTTGAAAGCACAGGTTTGTAGCTAATATCCTGCATGACATTCGCTGTATGCTCAAATTGCGGTATATATACAACCCTACCTTGATGAACTACACATATTGTTGCGTCATGTGCAGCTTAGCAAAAACTTCTATTGTGACTATAGTTAATCCAAGAAGAAAAAGATAAATTGAAAAAAGAATTACGGAAAGAAGTGGATGCCTGCACAGATGCAATTCGACTTGAGGTAGCAAAAGAAAAGGTAATTATATATATATAATACAGCCGACAAGCTTTATGACAACGTATATATATATATATATATATATATATATATATATATATATATATATATATATATATATATATATATATATATATATATATATGTATATATATATATATATATATTATATTATATTGTATATGCTTTGAAATTTATAGATCAAGAATTTAGAGAAAGAAAAGACAGAAGATATAAAGCGTTGGAAAGACCAAGCGCAAAAAGTGAGTAGTTTAAATTGCTTTCAATACAGTCTGGGTGCATGACAACAATGTGAATCATCATTTAGGTAATATATGACAGGGTGTCTCAATAAAAACGATGTTCCAATTTAACATGCCGTGATGCATATCTATAGCTATCCTTTCGGCATGAGTTCACTGAATAGCCGTGATTTGGGACGCGCATAAATGGACGGAGGGGGGGTGGTGGATAACACTGTGAAACAGATTAATATTCCAGGCGGTTCAATAAACAAGCGGTTCCATACAAATGAACCATTCTTTATAGTTGTTCTGCTGTTCAATGTAAAAGTCGAAGAAACACTTATTTCCAACATTATATTATAATTTTATTTTAAATTTCAGATTAATAACAGACGTTTAATCTAACGTTCAATTCGATTTCCTAAACGGAAAAACCCTTTTTCGAGACACTGCATGTTTAGAATTAACCCTTTAACTATTTTAGTCCGAACTTGAAAAGGACAAATTAGAACGCGAATTACGAGAAAATGAAGCCAAATACACAGCTAAATTCGCAGAACTTGAGACAAAGAGAAAGAGAGAAAATGATGAAGCCGATGCATTAAAGGAAACGATCAAAGAGTTGTCAGAAAACGAAAAGAAGGTGATACAAAAACCACAAAAATATTATTTGTAAAATAAGCTATAGCTTGCATGTTAAGAGAACGTGGATGATTAGACAGGACTCAATGCTATAGTGCTATACATGCATATGCCTCCTCTATATAGCTTTCTATTTACTTTGGAAAGAATCTCAATGAACAACAATATGTGTCGCAATACATAAATTTTTAATGCTCTAAAATTCATATTCAATTCCCACTGCTACTGCAATGATAATGCTTGATCAAGCAAGAGGTAAATAGCTACCGGCTGGCGCGAAAGTTTAGGGTGAGGGTGCATGACATTACATATAATAAGAAATATTCCAAACGGGCGATTGCACATATATGCACCCATTCATTAGTCTTGTAATATATTCCTATTGTCCAATATAGAAGATATGAACAGATATTTTATAACAATATTATTATAGTTCCAACGTGAGAAAGATCAAATGGAATATAATTTAAGTAAAAACGAAGAAGCATACAAAGCCAAAATTTCAGAACTTGAAGCGACAATAAAACAGGTAAATAATACACATTTCATGCAATGTTAATATTCCAGTGTTATGTATACACTGAATAGTTTTTTAGTTTCGCGGTGATCACAAAAAATGTTATTTGTAGATTAAACTGGTTTGTTTAATCTCAAGCATATATATGCCTTAGCAGTCAACGAACAATATGTTTTAATAGAACTGACAAAATTTAAAATTATGGATGCTTGTCTTAATTAAATGCTTAATTGCTTGTCTTTACAATCAAACACTCCTGAACGCCCATGCATTTCTGCAAACAGGCTCGTTGAAATGTTATCATCGATGAAATGTTATCATGGCATAATGCATGGACCCAATTATAGTCTGATTATATATAGTCTCATGGTTATGATGTTTTAAATTCATATTTCTAACATCATTGTAGTCCCAACAAGAAAAAGGTGAGTTGAAAACGAAATTGGAAAAAGAAAAAGATGCCCACTCTACTACAAAGGAAAAACTTGAAGCAAAAAAACGTAAGGTAAATACACCGGGTGATGCGATGGACGCGGGTCTGTGCTTTTTAAATAACTTCTTGCGTGAACATTGCTGAGTCTCAGACAGCCCAATTTATTTGAATTAAAAACATATTTCATGGGAATTAAGTTGCATGTGTCCTTAGTTCCTCTGATGTTTTGATGTGTAAAATATTTTAAATTCACTAGAATACAAGCCCTGTTATGATGTGTGATTAAATTTAAGATGATCTTGTCTGATTGCAATACGATTTGAAATATATAGAACAAGGATTTGAAGGAAGCACTGAGTCGCGAGAAGACTGAGGTACTAAATTTGAAGGCAGCCAAGCAGGGAGATGTGGGGCGTTGGGAGGACCTTGAACAAAGGGTGAGAACAAAGAGACTACAAGTCTCTATATAACTATGACAACAATGTGAAGCATGCATTGAGGTTCAACTCACGAAGATATGGATATGGCTTCCTGTCAGACAGTTGGTTAACGATAAACCATTTCAGTGTCTGTCAACCGATAAAAGAATTACATAAAAAATTTTATATCTTCATGTCAGCTAAGACAATAACCAATCCTTAAAAAAGTCTACCACATGTAAGCGTGGATCAAATGTAATTCACAACGATTGGCTTGTTTTTATTGTATATGAAACAGTTCAAGACTTTAGAGGAAACACGAAAAGGCGAAAGCACTGAGAAACAAAATGAAATAAAAGCGAAGCAGGAAGAGATTGAGGGTTTAGAGAAGCTTTATCAAAATGTAAGTTGTCTAGAACATGCAAACACCTGGTGCACCGGCAGCACCTGATGTGAATATCCGCTATTTTTTAGTTTATCGAATAAGTTTATATAGCTGCCATACCTGGATTCGAAATTCGAATAGGCAATATGTTGTATGTATGCGGTCTAGAAATGTTGTCTTGGGCTCAGTCTGATTATAACGTTTTAAAATTCCAACATTATTATTATAGTCCCAACGTGAAAAAGATGCGTTAGAAGAGAAATTGAACGAAGAAAAAGTTGCTCACACTGTTACAACTGGAAAACTTAAAGCAGCAGAGAAGAAGGTGTAAATATAGTATAAATACTGTATCTATTCAATATAAATTATATACTATAGCTAGTTCACAAAATTAATTTTGTATCTTAGTTGTATACCCGACTTGTATAACTAACTTTATTGGGCTAAGTACATCAAGACTTCTATCTGCAGTAAGAAGTCATATGTACGTACCTATATGGAACTTAATAGAGGTATAATATTCTTGTAAGTTTGCATGCATGGTGACATCAAATAAGTAAATTAGTTTGTAGTACACCACGTATAACTGTATTTAATACTGCAAAGCTGTCGATCGGTCCGTTAACCCGGGCGAAGCTCCATCAGTGCAATTGACGGACCCAGAGCTTTGCAGTATTAACTACTTACGTTGTGTAGTACAAGCTAATTTACTTAATAAAGTTGTTTTGGTTTTTTTTCTACTCTTTAAGTCGAGGAGCAGAGTCTGATCATTTTCCTTACAGTGATCCGGCGTCTCTTTCTTATTTAGGCTGAGCAAAAAGAGAGGGAACTAAAAAATGATCTTCGTGTGAAAGAAAATGAACTGGTTAAATTCAGAACGGACTTTGAGCAGAAAAACAATCTACTGGATGAACTTAAATCTGATATTCAGGAGAAAAATACTCAACTAGGTGAAGTTAAAAGAGAAAAAGAAAGTTTACAATCGTTCGTGGAGGAATGCAAGGTAAGTCTATTGTAATTTCCTGAGGTTTCCTGATTATTGCTAAACTGTTTCAAACAAATATAGCTCACATTCAGGCTTCATCCATAGCATTTTTATGTCATTTTTTCTGTTGAGCTAAAAATCCAGTGCAAACCAATGCAATATATGTAATTCACTTTATATGTCACGTGCTTCAGGCTTCAAAAACTCAAGATGCCGCGACCATTGCATCATTGAAAAGAAAAGCGCGTAATCTGAAAAAAATTGTTGCTCAATTAAGCAAAAAACATGACGACTTAGAGGAAGAGGTAAACTATAAACATTTGATGTGATATGATTTTTCCGTGTCTCTGTCTTGCGAAAAAGATTCTTTTAGCTGGAGAAACTGGGGTTCGCAATGCATTAATACCATACAGTTCTTCTGAACTCACGTGACTACCCTGGTGATATGATTTGACCCTCAAAGAATGCCCCATAATTATACATATCGTATAATGAATATAATCAGATTGAAAGCTTATTGTATTTACAGTCATCCTTGTTAATTGGGGAACTTCAACGCATGATAAACGAAATTGAAACTGAAACGGAAACACCGCCATTGCGAGATGCCAGGGGTGTTCATGAACTTCCTGGAGCGGTCGTAAGTTTGTTGTTGATCTATATTGAGGGGATATCGAGGTGCTCAGATTTTGAGAACATGAGGCAATTTTCCAACCTGTATTTTTAATCAAACACGAGATCAATACGTTAACGTTCAATGACCAGTGAGCATTTTAGTCGTGTCCATTTCCCGATCATTCAGTCCTACTCTCTCTTTTTATTAACTCCTGAACTTATTATAAACCGTGTTTACAAGTATGAGCCTGGGCCTTGTCATACAATATCTAGCTTTGAACTTGATTTTCGTGTTGTGAAAGAAGCTCAGCAAAGTCATGCCGAGGAAATCTATCCGCCGAAGTGCGTTTTCACAACAATTCAATTTAGTTTAAAGCTATGTCCAGGTAACGTTTACCAACATCACCGCTGCAGTGCTACACTTGTATTAACCGATGCGATATTAGGACTCATTATACTAGGCAATCCCAGCCAATCCTTGCGATAGTAAGGTCTAGTTTAATTCCTATCTTCAGGGAGGAAATGTCTCTGGAACGATTGGACAAATGAATGAACAAAGTGTACACGTAAGTTTCCTATTGTAGATATATCACAGACTCGCCAAACGGAGGTTATACCGGTTTCTGGCGTTTCAAATCGGTTATGAATTATTTATTTCTTGCTTATTCCTGTAGTTGATTTCATTTATAACTAAATTTAGCGGTATACTAGTTATTAGATGTGATATGATTCGATCGTGAATACACATCAGTAAATTAGTTATCTTTTCTTTCAGGATACAGTCTCTGTTTTACGTGTTGAAGCTCCTTCACCACCAACCATCGATTGCATTCCGTCCGTAACTGAGGATAATGTCCACGACCCGAATGAGGAATAGAATTGGTTTGTGATACTTTCTTTTTAGTACAGGTTTATGGTAATTTTTACGGATTATTCATTGCCACGAACGACCATTTTTACCGCTAGTTTTAGGATTGATTACTGAAAGTATGCAGAGCATGCGCAGAACCGATCACTTATCGATCAATCACCAATCATTGATCTGATGTAGTTGCAATTGTAAATATTATTAAATAATTGTTATATGTATATATTTTTTTCTTTCAATTTGTTTTTTGGCAATATACAGTTGATTTAGCCGGAGTAGAATACATAATGTGTATAGAGGTTTGGACAAACGCAAACTCATGTTTGAAAAGTACTCATAAAATAACTTCTGCTCAAAAGACGCTAATTTTAATTTATCCACCGTTTAAGCTAAACGGGCTTGATACAACCGGCCCCAGTTTGACAACCGTTCAGACAATCAAACTAACCCGAGGTGAATATAAGTTGAGTCGACCATTTGATTTAATCAACGACATGGGAATACAAACGGAATTTTAAGACCATTTTAATGATTGTATGCTTATATAGTTTTAGTCATTTTACTAATTGTTTATCGTTATATATAGCTAACGATTCATAGCGTTCTATCATTACACAACTCTTTGGAAGCACTTTGAAGTTTCGATTGCTTGTCTGCGTTGATCGGTATATGCATTCGTAAAACATTTCTGCTCTTTACGATATTAAGTACCTAAGCTACCTAAAGCTTTTTGTGGAAATATGTGAAAGAATTGCTGTCCCCAAATTGTCCCGAGTTAACTTTGATGTTTGATACAATTTCCTCGGCTCCAGAACTCTCATGTATCTCCCGGGTTCGATACCCAAAGCGTTGAGGACAGTCACTGGCATATCAAGACTCGATATATCCGGTCAAGAATAAAGACAGCCGTACGATCAGAAAAGAAATAAACGTGGTGCAAGAAAATGTAAGTAAGAAACGTCCATGCATGCATGGAATGTAATAAACACAAAAATTTTTTAGTTGCCAAATTTACATCTCTCAAAAGTAGAAATGTATTGCAAATTGCACGCAACTGATTCGTCCAAGCGTTTCGTTAAGACCTATAGCCTGAGTTTCAGCCGCTTGTATTACGGAAGTGCTTAAATTATAACTTAGCATCTAATGTGGTATAACAACTGCCTAAAATAGACAAAACACTTCTCGGGCCTTATCATACTAACTCTCCTGACGAAGGCCCTCGAAGGCCCTGACGACATTGACGAAGGTCGAAATGTCGCGAAGTGTTTTATCTATTTTAGGCAGTTGTTATACCACATTTGATGCTAAGTTGTTTGAAGACGCTGCCATGCACGCTGCTCCCTGGTTATATTGGAACTTGTTTACATTATAAATTCCCTTCATACAAGCTTGATAAGCGTCATATAAATTCCCTACATACCGGAACCACCCATCAGCAAGCGTGCAACAGCACAAGATCAGCACATGACTTGTCCGCCGGTTCTTTTTTGATTGGTTCTCGTAATAAAAGATGAATAAGAACGAATAAGAAACAACATTTTTTTTAGAAGACCAATCACAACGCATTAAGTGACGAAAAGGAAAGGTGCATGGGTATAAAATACCGACCAAGCTAGGCTATTGATGCTAGTATTTAACTTCGTCGGCGAAGCGTTGATAACGTTGTTATAATTCCGTACGTTATATATATTTGAGTGGAAAATCTCGCGAAAACTGAAAGTAAAAGTATGAATCACAACGAAGCATCATATTTGAATGAGCAAAGCGGGACCCTAGATGTAAGTCTTTATGTTTTTTATCTACTTTCGTTTTATTTTCATTGCGACATAGAAAAAAAAACATTAATTGTTCGTCAGTATGATCGATTAAATCCCCTAATTCCGACTTTTACTTAGAAATCATTTGTGTAGCTAAAGCAATATACTATTCCACCAACTTGCCCCGGAAGACTGGCTCTGTCTGTATTTTCTGAGCGTGTGAAGTGTTTTCGAAACTTTTGGCCAAGTCGAAGCAATGATTCGCTTCCGTAGTTCCGTAATTTCGTCAAGATTTTGACTTACTGCTGGTATATTGACATTAATATTGAGAGCCTTGAACGAAGACTAGATCTTTAAAACACATTACACCAATCCTGGTATGTTTTATTTAATCAATTTGAAGAAACACCAACAATTCCATATAGGCATAGATAATTAATTATATAAATAGACGTTGCCTTATTAATAATAACATTACTTCAATACGAAGACCTGTATAAATCCGGTAAAGCATAATAGTTTTTTTGCAATCTAAAAGATCCCTTGGAACTCGAAAGAAACGCTTGATGCTATCAAGGTTTGCCAAGGGCGTAGGAAGTTTTGGTCTCTTGATTTATTAGTTTTAATCAGAATTTACGTACGACGAAAACAAAAATAGCACCAAAGTGCTTTGCACAAGCAATGAGTTGCAGGATGTCTACCAAATATCGAAAAATTGTATTTATTAATTCAAAGGAACGTTTTTAAAAACGTGCCTCATAGCTACATCTTCATCTTGTAGGAGGGTTCTAGTGGATCACCTGCTGAAAGATCGAGTCAAGTGTCTGGGGTAGAAGAAGTTCAAGGTGCGAGTGGCACAGGCACAATGAGCAGTTCTCAGATTTGCCAACCTCCTCAAACTGGCAATGTTCGACAGGAGCTACCTATACCTGAAGAAGAAGATCAAGTAATAAATCTAAAATTTTAGTATTGTTTAGTAGTGTTACAGCTATCTATGAACTTTTCTGTTATTTTCCTAAATCCTTATTCACAACCCAATTGATGCAGGCCTAACGGCTCTTAGCTTAGTTAGCTCCATCTATCATATTGTAGGAGGTTTCTGATCAATCAACTGTTACTACAACTTGTACACGGTCTGAGAGAGAAGAAGTTCAAGGTGCGAGTGAGACAATGGCGGCAAACAATTCTGGTCTTAGCGTTTTACCTCAGCAAACTGGTGGTGTCCAACCGGAGCTAGGTGGTGGAGCTGATGAAGAAGTGGTAAATGTAAAATTTTTGTGTTGTTACGGCTGGTTGTAATTTTAATCAAGCCAAAAATGTCGTGTGATAAATTCAATTGCATGAAAAAGTTCTGATTGATGCCAAATTGTTGAATCAAAATTCTCGAAATTATCTATGCTCTTCATATTTCATCTTGTAGGAGGATACCGAGTCAATGGAGAGAATCACCGCCAGTAACTCTGCGTTGGAAGATGAAGGTGGGAGTGAAACAGTGGAAGGCCCTTCTGAGATAAGCGTTTCAAACCAACAAACTGGCTGTGATCAACAGGAGTCTCGTGATGAAATTCGTGAAGAAAATCAAATGGTACATCCTTATTTTAGTGTTGTGACGGCTGGTCGTAATTTTGAAAGAAAATATTTTTGGTTGATTGGAAGTTTGAATCAACCCAAAAAGATCTCGTGTGATAAATTCATTGTCATTGGCAAGTTCTGATTGATGCAAAGCTTTTGAATCGATGAATTTTTCTGTAGTTTTCTTAAATCTCTT